ATGATGGGTAGATCTTAGCCTTTTACCAATATACCAGTATACCTGCAGTATGAAGTATGGACTGTTCTTAACACTTATGAAGGGATGCTGTGTTAAAGAGGGAGACATTAATTGTTCTGTGATACACAGTTCGTAAGCATCAAAGCCAGCATTTGGACCCAGATGACCTTGCTGACACTGCAAAAATAAGGTCAAAAGGCCCTCCAAGAATAGCAGTCTCCAGCGGCTGGACTCAGAAGACCTGACTCCCCCTCGCTCCACAGTCCACTTTTCCTTGGACTCTCCTTTTTAGTTTCTGATACAGTAAGATAAGCTGCTCCTTATCTTAAGCACTGTCGAAACCATTCTCTGAATACTCTAAGCATGAAAAAGATTTGGAAGACACAAAGAGAAGAAAAGAAGGAAAATTGAAAGTTTAACTGATAAGTCCTTGTCTCAGATTCAACAATGATTACTAGCCATATAAATCGTGTTGTAAATCATATACGAACCGTAAGCCTTTCCAATCACCTACTTTTGTAACTTGTGAAAGGCTATGTTGATAAAGAGATATTTTCTTCTGTTAGTTTTCAATGATCCTTAATTATATCATAAAACAAGAGAAAAATATAGGAAAAAATAGAGAATGTTGTCTATTGCTCACCCGAGAAGCTGTGTTCCAGTTCTGATATAGGTTTTGATATTGCCTGGAGAACACTAGCCTTTGGAAACTCCACTGTCTACTCTTGCCTGAAGGTTTCTATCTACAACATAATGATCTCAAGTAACTGTGCAAGAATATATACCTAAGTATAGCAATAACAAGGGTTTTCTCTGAAAACAATTCCCACAATTAAACGATAAGCTATAATGAGAATTTCTCTTGTTCCTATTAATGAACTTAAATTCTATTCTTTAAAAAAAAGTAATTTCCCAGGCTGCAGTTTTCTGAAGAAAATGCAGTCAATATTTAAAACCAAAAAACCAAAATATTTTATTGACTATTGAATTGTCTTAAAAGTGTCTCATAAATTTTTATTAAATTCTATATTAAGAAAGACAAGTCTATGAAGCATGCCAGCTAAATTTAAGAAGCAACACATTTAGATCAGTGTGTTTAATGACTTTTTGTTATTGTTAGCTGTGACTGAGTCAGTTCCAACCCTGTGTACAACAAAACAAAATACTGTACCGTTAATGTCATGGTCACAATTACTACTGTGTTTGAGATTACTCATGCAGGCATTATTTCATTCCATCTCGTCAAGGTCTTCCTCTTCTCGCTGACCTTCTATTTTAACAAGAGTGATGCCTTTTCGTAGGGCAGGTCTCTCCTGAGAAATGCTTCACCATCCTAGCTTCTAACGAACCTTCTGGCTGTACTTGCGCCAAGATGGATGTGTTTGCTCTGGTGGCTCTTAGTGCTTTGCCAGCATCATAATGCCAGTGCACCAAAACTTGTCAGTCTTCCTTGTTCAATGTTCAACTTTGCCACGTATATGAGCACATTGAAAATGGCATACCTTAGTCCTCAAATTTATCACTTGCTTTCTACCACTTTAAAGAGGCCTCCTGCAGGAGATTTGCCCAATGTAATATGTCATCTGATTTCTCAACTGCTGCTCCCGTGCACATTGATTATGCATCTAAGCAAAATGAAATACTTGATAACATCAATCTTTTCTTTGTTTATCATGATGCGGTTTGTTGGTCCAGCTGTGAACGTTTGTGTCTTATTTACACTGAGTACAGTCCATAGAGAAAGCTGCATCCCTTCATCTTCACCAGCAAATAGTTCGAGCCTTCTTTCTATTCAGCAAGCAATGCTGTGTTATCTGCATATTGCAGGTTGTTAATTAGCCTTCTTTCGATCCTGATGCCACATTCTTCTTCATATAGTACAGCTTCTCTGATTATTGGTGCAGCATACAGATTGAGTAAGTATGGTGAGAGGATACAACTCTGACCGCACTTTTCCTTATTTTAAACCATATAATAACCCCTTGTTCTGTTTAAGCGACTACTTCTTGGGATATCTGCAGGTTCTGCATGAGTGAATTCCCATTCTGCTCAGTCCTCTTCAGAGTTTGTTACGATCCGTACAGTCAAAGAAACGCGATTGGATAGTCAAGAGGACACAGGAAGCATCTTTCTCATTTGATATCAGCAGTGATATCCCGCATGCCATGCCCTCTTCTGGATCAAGTTTGAGTTGCTGGGAGGTCCATGTGGATATACTACTGGAACGATTTTTGGATGAGCTGCAACAAAATATAACTTGTATCTGATTAGATTGTTCATTGATTTCTGCATCATGTTAGGTCAGCTCTTTTTTGGAATGGGTCCAAATATGGAACTCTTCTGGTTGATTGGTAGGGTACCTGTCTTCCAAATTTTTTGATACAGACAAGTGAAGGTTTCCACTGCTTTATCATTTTTTAAAATATTTCAATTGACATTCCATCAATTCCAAGAGCCTTTACATTCACTAATAAGATCACGTCTTCATTACATACTGCCTGTTAAAATGCTTAAACATAAGCTAATTATTTTTGGTACAGTGACTTTGTGTATACCTTTCACCTTCTTTTGATGTTTCCTGAGTTTTTCAATATTTTGTCCATAAAAATCATCTTTTAATATTACAACTTAAGACTCGGATTTTTCATTTAGCTCTTTCAACTTTATATGCTGAACATATTCTCTTTTCAAATTCTAAGTACAGCTCTTTGTACATTTCATTATATTTTACATTGAATTCTTTAGTTTTCTTTTGAAGTTTTCTTTTCAGGTCTTCCTCATTTCTGAGATTTGCTTTAGCTACTCTGTGATCAAGAGCAAGTTTTAGAGTCTCTTTGGGTATCCACATTGGTATGCTTTTTCCTGTCTTTTTAATGACCGTTTGTTTTCTTTGTGTATGGTGGGCTGGGTGTCTTTCCACAGCCCCTAAAGTCTTCTATGAGTTCTAAAAATGGTTCTATCCTGTGCTGTAGGGTCACCATGTGTCTGAATTGACTCAATGGTATTGAAGTTTAGCTTGTTTTCATCTGTTCCCACAGATGTAGGTAATTTGATTGCGGTGTATTGCGTGTGATGGCAGTCACAGAGTGTTGGTGAGAAAGAAGAGATTTACCATGAAGCTGTCAGCTTTCAACATTCTCTGATGTGACTGCCAGTTCCATTTCTGTTACCAAGACCATGTCTTCCAATTACTGCTCCTTCCTCTTTGTTTCAGTTTTTCTCATTCCAGTCATGACTGACTATCAGTGCATCTTTATTTACATGAAAGATCCACTTCAGAATGAAGAACTTGGCAGAATTTCTAAAGTGGGTCAGCTTTAGCGGTCGGTGAGTGAATTTGAGTAAGATTTGTATTAACTGGATTTCCTTATATGACTAAGATATTATCCTATCACAGACGCATTGGACTTCAAGACAGATCTTAACATTTTCTTTTCCTTTGAGAAAAAGAAGGAATGCTTTGAATGTGAGGAATGCTATGAAAGTCTTCTTGAAATTAGTCATTCCAAGAGTAGTAAATCATATGATTGTCTGATTCAACATGTCAATACCAATCCATTTCATCTCACTAATGCCTAGGATATCAATCTTTATGCATTCCATTCCATTTTTGATTGCTTACAATATTCTTAGATCCATACTTAGAACATTCCATGTTCTGATTATTAAATGGGTTTTTGTAGATAATTCTTCTCATTTTGAGCCACATCTCACCAGCAAATGAAGGTCCAGAAAGCTTTAATCCATCCACTTTCGTATGACCAGTTCTACTTTAAGCAGGCGGCTCTGCCTTAGGTGCATTTTGAGAGCCTTACCTGAGGATTCATCTTTTGTTTCTCTATGTTTCAACGGTTCACTGGTATTCATAAGGTTGTCAGTCTATCTGAGAATGTTCTGCTGCGATTAAAACAGATTTCAGTCGCTACTCCCCAGAAGTAGAAGACAGCCTATTTCTTCTTCACAGTCTGTTCTTTGTCTGGAAGCTCTGCTGAAACCTATTCATTTGAGTGATCTTGCTAGTTTTTGTAATACCAGTGACATGGCTTCTGGTATTACAGAAACATGCCAGTCACCAGCCTAAGATAACCGACAGACAAGCGGTTGCATATATATCATTATGTTATAGATTTTGTATCATATGTGGTATTATATACAGAATATGTAACTTTAAATAATTCTTAATCTATTTTTATTTTTACAGAGTTATATAGTACAAGCAACAATTTCCTATCAATTCCCCAGGGTAAATTTTCACTAAAATATTTATGTTTTTAGCAATATTAATTTACCGGTATAACGAAGACCTTATGCACATTTGCATAGCTTAGCAATGCACTGCTTTATTCACTTTTGTTTTTAAATGTAGAAATATGTCACATTACTTTAAAAACAGAAGAATGGAAATAATTTCACATTCTCTGTGCATGCAATAAAATGACTTTCACATTTACATTTAATAGTCTATTGGATCCTACCACCAAAATGTAGAGAAAAGTGAGAGGTGAAATGTGGACCAAGTGGAAAATACCTTCATGTTCAGACAAATGTCCAGGGGACTTGTACTTTGCTGCATCAGGTGACTTTTAGAGTTTTGTCCTCACACAATAAAATGTGCTGCTCCTAAATTGATTTGCCTTAAAATGGTCAAGTATCAAAACAACAAATAGAAGTTTTATCAATGCAAACTGCTTTTATTTCCTAAAGACAGCTAGCTCCTGGCTAGGGGAATTTTGCATGGATCCTTAACCAATGCTGGTAATTGAACATCCAGGATCAATATGGACTTTGAGAAGTAAGCATCTCCTTTGCGGGCTATTATAAAGTAGCTTTGAGAGAACAAAGGGACAGAAACTTTTTCTTGAAAAGTTTTCAAAGGCAAATCATATGGACGGTGCAGAATTCTGGCCATTTTCCTTTTTTAAATTTTCCTTCTAAATGTAGAATAAAGAGATGAAAACGGTTGACAGTAAGATTTCCAAATGCAAAATGGATAGACTTACTGGTACATGCCATAGAAGGTGGGTCTTTTTCGGCTCGGAAATAACCCTTCTCACACTGACAGACAGAAGTTGCTTCCATGTACGTTAGACTGTGTGGAGGGCATTTAGAACACTTTATATTCCCGGCAAATGCTTTATAGAATCCTGGTCTGCAAGCTGTGAAAACACACAAAACAATTATTTGTACTTATTTTCTCTAGGGTTCTTTTGTTTGCACATCTACACTATTTTAATTTATATACACACTGTCAGAGGTCAGTGGCACCTACAGACAGAAAAGCCAATATATTGTCATATTAATGAATGAAATTAGTTATTTAGCACTAGTAATGCAACTGCTAGAGCACATTTCTGCTGAACTTGTTGTTTTAAAAACATAAATCTTAAATGCACGCTCCCACACACATCCCAAAAGGTGTTTTTCAATTTGTAGAGAAACCAAACAAAACTCACTACCATCAAATCCATACGGCTAATAGCGCTCCTCATAAGACATGCCAAACGGCCTTTGGGTTTACAACTCTGCAAATGTTTAACAGGAGTAGAAAGTCCAGTGTTTCTCCTGAGGAAGAGCTGGTGGTTTCAATCTGCTGATCTTTGGGATCTCAGCCCAATGGGAAATCACTACCCCACCATGGCCTCACATTGCAGGGATGCCCACATTTGTCAGTAAGGGACATGATTTTGTGTTCTTCTGGGAGACAAAGTGCAATAAGACATGGTCACACCACTGAAAATATGTAATTACTGTGCACTAATGCATTTGAACAAAACATACCTAAAAGCTTATGAAAAGCATGATTTAACAACAAAAATCCATGAGTAAGGTTTCTGCTAATATCTTCAGAAAAGGAAAACATTTATGATTCAATGTTTGTTATATATGTAAAATTAATATCTAAATATATACAACCAAATACAATAACATATTCCAGAGGTGCATGAGGTGGCAAGTGCTGCTTTGGGGCGAGGTGACTACCATCCATTGGCATTAAGAGCATTGTATGTGCCACTGATGATTCTTCTCCAATAGAGGTAAACCAGAAGAAGTGGCAGGTGCACACACCGTTCCTGCACACACAGGTGCGCACACAGGCAGATGCATTCTATAACTACGTTACTTTTCCTTCTTGATGTTTCTCTTAAATAGGCTAATAGTTTGAGAACAGCAGAATTATCTTCTGTAAATTTTTGTTGCTGTTAGGTGCCATCGAGTTGATTCTAATGCATGCCAACCAACTGTATGCAGACTAGAATGAAATACTGTAGTCCTGTGCCATCCTCTCAGTCTTTTTATGTGTGAGCTCATTGTGGCAGCCACTGACTCCATCCATCGTCTATACAATCCAAGTATTATTAAGAAATTGGTTATTTGATATAATAACACAGTATCTTCTATAACTTGCTGGTAAATTAATAGATTGGGTTAATCAATAAAAAGTGGAATCATATAAGTATTTCTCTAATGTGTTGAAATTCAGAGTTACATATCTTTTTAAAAATTTTTTATTTTTAATCAATTTATTGGGGCTCATACAATTCATCACAATACATAGATCAATTGTGTAAACCACATTTATACATTTGTTGCCCTCATTATTCCCAAAATTTGCTTTCCTCTTGGGTTCCCGGAATCAGCTCATTTTCCTTTTTTCCCCTCCCCCTCCCTTTCTCCTCCCCTCTCCCCCATGCACCCTTGATAATTTATAAATTATTATTGTATCTTGTATTACACTGCCCGGCGTTTCCCTTCACCCACCCCTCTGCTGCCTGTCCCCCAGGGAGGAGGTTATATGTAGCTCCCTGTGATCAATTCCCCCTTTCTACAGCCCCTTTCCTTCCTGGTATCGCCACTGTCACCCCTGGTCCTGAGGGGTTCATTTGTCCTAGATTCCCTGCGTTTCCAATTTCCATCTGTACCGCTGTGCATCATCTGGTCTAACCAGGTCTGCAAGGCAGAATTGGGGTCATGGTAGTTGGGGGGAGGAAGCATTTAAGAACTAGAGGAAGGTTGTGGGTTTCATTATTGCTGTACTGAAACCTAAGTGACTCATCTCCCCACTACCCCTCTGCAAGGTATGTCCAGTTGTCTAGAGATGGGCATTGGGTCTCCATCACGCGCCACCCTCATTGACGAGGATATGATCCCCACCACCACCCCCCACCCCCGCCTTTGGTGTTTGAAGCCTGGTCCCTTCGGCCCTTCATGATCACACATCTTAATGCCAATAACATATGCATTATCCTCCCCCCACAATATGCGCTTTCCTAAGTGTTCTGTGGGGAAAAAATAGCATACTACCTTTAGAAAATTAGCTTGAAAGGGGGAAAGCATAATTGAACTAAAAAGGAATATATATAAGACATGAATTTATTAATATAAAAGGACAGCATGTAAATAATATAAAACTAATTCCACTAAATTTTCATTATCAAATTCTAATTTTAATTGAAAAAGTAAATTTTAATTTATAAGATAATATATCATAAATTATTTAAGAAATTAAACTTATATATAAATATATACCAAATAAATTTTTTCTACTTAATCATATAGTTTAAAATAAATGAATATATTCTATAGGATAAGTGTGCCACAGTTTTCAAAATACTTTTTAAATGTTGAAGCTTATACCATGTACAAATCTAAAAATCAATAATATATAGAGAAATACCAGACTAAACAGTGAATGCATAGTTTGAATGTGCTAAAGCTATTGCAAATGCTGTTTTCCAAGCCTTTTAGGTCACTTTTTAAATAAAACCATTTTAATCTAACTAATAATTTGCTTGCTACTGATTGCAACGCAATGAAAATCAAAATGCTGAAGTCAACATATGTACTAATGTGCTGGACACAAATGACGTACGTGCAGATTGTGATGAGTTGTATGAGCTCCTAATAAAATGATTATTTAATAAAAAATGCTCACAACTGGAATAATAATATAATAAGTGGAGAAAAAATTGAAGTTATCAAGGATTTATTTTGCCTGGCTCCAAAGCAATGCTCATGGGAGCAGCAGCCAAGCAACCAGATGGCACCAGGCACTGGGCAAGTCAGCTGGACAAGAGCTCTTGAAAAGGTTCAAGAGGAAGACTTTGAAGACCTAGGAGAGGCAGACCCAAGCCATGGTGTTTCCAATCACCTCAGATACAAGGGAAGGCAAGTGAGTGACTATGGACAATGTAGAAAAAGTTCATGTTAGTCGTAGGAAGATCTACGAATCCCTGCACAAGAATATTGCATGTCCAACATACTGCCAGAAAACAAACACATTCTTCATGGAGGACATACATTCAGAACTGTTCCGTAAAATAAAAATGATGAGTCTTTATCAAGAGAGACCAGTACTTGAAAAGGAGATAATGCTTCGTAATCGAGAGTATTTGCAAACAAACTAAAAAAGGAAGAGCATCAAGGAGATAGGTTGCCCAAGCGTAAGAACAATCGAACCATCGTGAGGATGATGCTGGACCAAGTGATGTTTCCTTATGTTGCACAAATGATCACTAAGAGTCAGAGCGGATTGGCTGTCACCTAACACCTAACAGCAGCATGCTATTGACTGCAATAAAAGGCTGTTTATTATATGTAAAGATGCAAAATGTATCAGATGTACATACAAAAGTGATAAGTATTCTGTTTTCTTCCTGTTGTTTGTTATTTAAATATCAGCTGTAAAGATTCTTTGGCACCTAAATTAATCTTCATATAAATTAATTTTTTTTTTGCAACAAAACACTCTCACCATTCATTTGTTTTCTTTGGTAACTAAGCCAAATATTTAAATGATTTCTTACCTCTCCTGCTTTCAAGTCACAGATAATTTTCTACCTCCTTTAAAATCTTCATAGAATACTTGTAATGTCTCTTAAAATACTAAGAATAGCTAATGAGACTTAAGTGTTACACAGAACAGACTACTAACTTATCTCAAAGAGTCTGCTCCTGTCCACTCTTATCCATGGTGCAGACAGTCATTTCTAATCCTTCTCTAGCTAATAAAAATATAAACCCAGTGAAATATATACAATAATTTCCATTAGTCACAAAAAAACAAGAAATATATAATTAATTTTAGTAATGAATTTCATTTAATCAAATACATATAATCAATGTATTTAAATATTTATATGATTTACATATTATATACTACTTTAGGAATATAACATATATTTTACATCGTCTCAAGACCACATTTCAAATGTCAGAAAACCTCCTATGGCAAGGAGCAACCACACTTCACAAACAAACTCAATGCCATCGTGTTGATGTTGACTCATAGCGACGCTCCACAACAAGCTAGAACTGCCCCAGTAAGTTTCTGACACTGTAACTCTAAAGGAGTAGAAAGTCCCAATTTCCTAAGAAGCGGCTCATGGTTTCCAATTGCTTACCTTGTGGTAAATACATAACTCTGATGGCACCAGAGTCCCCTAGCAACCATAGTGGGTACTACTTAATGTCCTCGTGCAAACACCTTTGATGACGTCCACCCATCTTTAAGATAAAGTTCAAAATATTTATCGTGGATATAAAGTTTCCTGTGTTTTGGAGCTCGCTCCATTCACTCGGAGGAGACTCCTCCTCTCTCCCATCACCTTGCTGAAAAGGTTTTTCACTTTTGTTGTCTATTTCAAATCAGCCGATATGATCTCATTGAAATAGACAACAAATCCTCCAGTCACTTTCCAATTCCAAAGCCAGCGTCCTTATACTTGCCTCTCAGGCATTCCACACAGTTTGCTCCCTGGCTGTTCTTGGCACTTATTTCTCCTGCTTCTTTCCTTCAGATAGTCTGCTCCAGCCACACTTCCTGCTTCAGAATTTTAGATCCTGGAAGCATATTCTTTCCACAGAATCTTCAACACTTGCTCTTGCCTGACTATCGGCATGGTTTTCCCACCCTTACATCAGTTGCTTTTTCCTTTCCTTTTTAAAAAAAATCCCACTACATCAATGAATCCAATTCTCGCTTCCTTTTAAAAATGTCCTCTTCTTCTGAATCAGTGTGTGAATATTCCGCTAATGGAAGACCTATGGGGAATCAGCATGACTACTCAGTGCATGTTCTGATCACGGCATAAGTTATCTCATCATTTACAGTTTTGCCTACTTGATTAATTGCCATATGTATGATAAGGAGTAGAGC